TACTAAGAACCAGTAAGTTTAAGGACCACGCTTTTTTAGTGTGCCCAAAAAGGAGCATAGTTCTGATCACCACCCACACCAATGTGATGTTCAGGATGGCCGTTGCTGCCTTAAACCCAATGCTGCAGTTTGGGGTTCAGTGATTTGTCACTCTAGGAGTACGGTTGAGGGTTTGGGATTTCAGCAGACAGTGATGCATGTTTGTTAGTCCCGGAATCCTAGGACCTAACACTATACATAGAGGGTCAGGGGCACTTCGTAAACGGGTTAATGACCCCTGTATCCTACTTGTCCCTCATTATCCACCTGCTTACTAAGTCCCCCTTATCCTCCAAGTATGGAACCCTAATCCCTAAACCCTANNCCCAAACCCCAATCCCTAAGCCCTAAACCCTAAACCCGGGGAGAAAAGGCCCGATAAAAAAACGCACACCCCAAACCCCAATCCCTAAGCCATAAGCCCTAAACCCGTGTTTCCTGAAATCTGTGGCAAGGTTTGGCTACATGGGAGAGGAGTTCATGTCAGAATCCGAATCCTGATGCGCATCCCTTACTGTTGATTTTAAGAATCCTGCATGACTTCAGTTCACTGTGGTACCAGAATTTCCAAGGTGTATGGTACTCAGGGTCATGCAGGATCTTGATATGATCAACCGTGGGAGGGTCTGGGCGAAAAGTCGGAAATGTCAGCCCGTTATAACCCTTTATGTAGAAATAAGCCCCTGCATCGGCAACAAGGGCAATCGGGTTTGCACATGTTGAGGTTTAGTGCTTCTGAATACCACGGGACCTTTTGCTGAATCTTGATTTGAGCCCATGGCTTCGCGTGCCTGGCAATCAATCACAAGCTCCCTAAACCCTAAACCGCAGAAGGGTCCAGGCTACCTGAATGACGTTAGTATATTGCAGTAATATCTAATATATTACAGTATATTGTAGTAGATTATAGTAAGTTATGGTCTATTATAGTGGATTACAGTATATTTTAATATTGCTTGAGGTGCTCAATGTCAGAACACCTTGGTTTTAAGACGCTACTGCTGTGGTGGTTCCCGAACCAGACAATTTCTGACGACAACACATGCCTTCCTAAACCCCTTTCTTGGGCCCTTGCTGTATTGGGGGGTTTCCAAAATTCAGGGTACCCCTTTGGGGATCCCAATAGTAAGGATTAGAATATATTGGGGTCCCCTATTTATAAAAACTACCAATTGCGGAAGCTGTGAGAGAGTGCGGAAATACCCGGAAAAAATGTGCGTGAGTCGATGGGTGCAGGGTGCTGCTTTGCGGCATGCCACAAACAACTTCACAAGTCCAGATATGTGCAGAGCACTCATAAATGCAGAATGAGGTTGCTGTTGCACCAGGCCGCTCCCAAACCCTGAACCCCAAACTCACCCACCGAAGCCCGCTCTGGGAAGGGGTAGGTGCTTGCAATATGAATGGATTATTTGAGTCCTGCCGGCAGTAGTCCATTTTTCTGACAAAATCCCTTCGGAGTCCATGCAGTCAGAAGTTTGGTTTTTTTGAGGTAATCTTGGTACGGCTTGGGGTTTAGGGCTTAGAGCTTAAGCCTTAGGTGCAATGATCATAGATTTCATTCGTTTGGTTTAGGTTTTAGAGGGTTTAGGGTACAGCAACGACACCTTGAACGCACAAGGCCGAACCTCCTACAGAATTTGTCCACACGTCTTTCACATTTTTGTCGACACACATTTGCAACAGTCACAATGGCAATCTGGCAAACAGAGTTTCCCTACGCCCTGCACCCCAAGCACGAAAACCCTGAACTTTCCTAGGTCTTAGCCCACAAGCCCTAGGACCCTAACTCGAAGCCTTGCACGCTGCACGCTGAAGCCCGAATTCCTGTTTCAAAGCCTCTGGAAGCAGGAGCAACGTCGTCAGGACCCCCAATTCTTAGACTATACTTGGAGGATCGGAGAACTTAGTATGTAGTCAGGACCCCCAATTCTTAGACTATACTTGGAGGATCGGGGAACTTAGTATGTAGGTTACTTGAAGGCCCAATCTAGAATTGGGGTAACTTGTATGGTCCAGTTGACAGGGTTGTTAGTGGGTTATAAGCCCAGCTATAAGTACTTACCAAGTTCCATGAAACTTCAAGTAACAAATTTAATTACCCATATAGTAATCCGAGAAATCCCACACTATCAACCTGCTTGCTACGCCGCCCTTGGTCCCGTGACCCTCCAAGTCCTGTATCAGAATTTACCAGTATAGCAGCTCCCTAACTCCGCTGAACGCAAAGACTAAACCTGTGGATCCTCAAGCAGACCCCGGGCCAAGGGGATCCATAGTCTAGGTTTTAGTCCCCCTTAAGTAGAATATGGGGTATATGGGGATCTTATTATAATGTACTCAAAGCCATATTCTATCTACTTAAGGGGGACTATAGGGCTATACATTGTATGCCCACTTCAGGCCCCATAGTTTCAAATCGTATTTTTTCCAGTGGATTTCTAGGGACAGGCAGTAATTTCATCCAAACCAAAAAGCTTTGCAGACCTTCTCCGAACCAGCGGCCGCGCGGGGGCCTGCAACGTGCCGGGCTCAACCTCTTTGGAGTTCGAGGTCTATAGGGGCTTAGGGTTTAGGGGTCAGGGTTCAGGGTTTAAGGCCTACTCATGGGGTTTAGGGCTTACAGTGGTGGATGGACTAAATCTTGCGCCACCTAGAGGCCCATCAATGTTGTGGGCTGGTACAGGGTATACAAGGTGGTGCAAGACTTCCTACGCGGCGAGCATCGCATGTGTCCCCGTATCGTTGGATATTTTGAGGAATGGAACATCCGGAGCAATGCTGCAGCTTCTCCTCAGAACACACGGATCTTGCAAGCAGTGGTGAAGCAGAAAGAGCGGCAGCGTTGGAAAAGTCACCAGATGCACGTCCAGCACGCGAAGGGCATCAGCGAGAAAGACCGGCAGGAAATATGATCTATTGGCCATGGAGCCTCACGCTTCATTCCATCCGCAGCAGGGATCCACATAGACTGAACGAGGTACCATGTGTAGACTTTAGCAAGATAACATAACCAATAACTCATATCCCGCTATCCCACTACAAAGCAAGAAACAACACTTTTCATGGCTACATTCCGGTACTATGTGTAGTGTAGGCTTTAGGACCTAAAAGGCATCTGTTGAGACTTGGCTCTCTAGGTTGTGGTTGATTAATAAGGGGCCGGGTGTCTGACTATGCGAATTGTACTTGAACTACTAGGGTGAGACTCTCAGTTGCCCGTCCCTAAACCTAGGCGGAGACACCCCACAACGATTTTAAAACATATTAATCCCTTCGCTCGCCCAAGAGGGATTTCAAAGGGAAATTCTCCCTGCGTACCACAAACTGAACACCCCCACCCACCCTTAATCTCAGATATGCTCCCCAATATCTGAGGGCTCTTATGAGGCTTGCTGAATGTTAGGGCGGGGGAGGTGGTGCTTTGATTGTATTTGGGGGCCTTCGGTGATCTTCCCGAAAATGCTTGGACGGTTGAGGTTCAGCTCGCCAGACGTTGCGCACGCAGTGCTGGGGCGCAAGCAGTGCCAAGTTAGTGGTATTGCAGAAGCCCGAAGAATACCAATACAATTCGCATGTAACCCTTGCATAGTTGTATTTTCCTAGTTGATAATATATCTCAACGAACCCTACTTGAATTTAAGAGGCCCCTCTTCAATCCCCATAAGTTCCATGTAAGCCCAGCTTCCATGTCATGTTCGGCTTGATTCTTCTCTGTTCTGACTTAGCAGTTCACTACGCTATGCAAGAAGCCCGTAAAACCCTAAACCCTACACCTTCAACCGCCCAACTTGGCGCCCCAACTTGTTGCATGCAGCTGGCAATAGGTCGAACAATCCCAAACCCTGAGCCGTACACTGAACCCCTCAATGTTGAAACCCTGTTCCCCCACCAGGAGTCCCCCGCTCGCCTTAAATCAGGTCTATTCAAGCGATATTTGTGGTATTTGAGCTTTACTGGGGGCAGCGGGGTGTCTAGGTAAACCGTAAGCCTTCAAGCCCGGGATGAATAGAAATGTACAGGGGAAGGTTGAGCGCCAAAAATTGAAAACCCCACCAGAAGCACCCTTTAGGGTTTAGGGCTTAGGGCTTAGGGCTTAGGGACTAGAACCCTATACAACCTTTTCTATACAAATCTTCGAAAATTCCACGAACGGTCAACTTAAAACCTCATAAACTCCTGCACCCTGGTCTAACGTTAGTAAACCTGGGGATCCAAGTCTGTAGAGTTTTAGCCCATAGGGTCCTGGGGTCTCTAAACGGTACCTACCTTAGGCCTGTTGGACCTTCCTGTGGATGACGGAGCTCTTGCGCCGCCTTTAATGCCCTATGCCCCAATCATTGCAGGATTTTGGGGGCAAGAATCTTCCACATGAGCCCTAAGCCCCTGAACCCCAGAAATGGAAACCCCTAAACATCACTTGAAATACTGGGGCTTAGCAAGGAGTATGGGAATACCACATATAGGGGTTGTATTCCCTTTTACCCTATTAATAGCCAGTAAATGAAGCCCCAAGCTTGAAAAAGGTCGTACGGGCTAAGCCCCTTAAACTGTACAATTCCGACAGTAAGGCCTAAATCCAAAGCTCTAGATAGTAGTTTCCATTTCGTTGTCAACCTCATTTTCCATATGATTCTCCATTATAGCTAAAGTATAACCCTGAACCCTAAATTCTATACCCTAATCCCAAGACTCCGAACTCCTAAACCCAAACCTAGTATGAACCCTAAACCCTAATCCCAAGATTCCGAAACCCTAAGCCCAAACCTTTTACACACCCTAAACCTTAAGCCCTCAAATCCCGAACCCTGAGTTTCAAAGGTCTGGGCCTGTACGGCTGTCCTTCGAAGCTGCGAGAAGGAGCGCTTTTATGGTATACAGTTTACCCAGGGGCTCCAATGTAGTTCCTTTTTTAGGGTTTGTTATGGTTTTTGGTTAAGGGATTATAATATGCTACCCAAAACGGAACTACATGGGAGGGTCCGGGTAGTGCTTATGTCAGGAAACCTCAGCCTTAAACTCGAAACCTAAATTGCTTTCCGAAGCCCCAAAACCAAAAAACAAAAGCCTAATGCCCAAACCCTGAGAGGGCGGAAAAGAGTCCAATAAAAAGCAAAACCTAAACCCTAGACCCTAGAACCTAAATCACAAATCATACCGCCCTAAGCCCTAAATGGCAGACCGTAAGCTCTACACCACCATTGTAGGAGCTTCAGTGGGTTGCGGCCAGCCAGTTGCTTTCAAGCATGGGAGCAACTCGTCCCTCCGTTCTATAATCTGGTTAGGGCTCTAGAGTTTGAGGTTAAGGGTTTGGGGCTTCGATTTCAGGGTAGTCTTCCGAGGTAAGTTTGGGGCTTTAGGGTCAAAAGTTGGGGGGTTTTAGGCTTTGAGGTGTTTTAAGCTTTTAAAGTTAGGCCCTGACAATGAGTGTAGGAAAGTCCCACGTAAAGTCTCATAGGACTTCTGCGCAGTTAGGAAGCTTCCGGACGCTCCCTCCTCGT